ATTTAGTTTCAAACCATAAAACATTGGTTAACTAAAGAAGATTTCAAGAATAAATTTCATACAAAATTTTACATAATAAGAATATTAATATTATTTTACAAATTTTTAAATAATAATAACAAATTTATTACAAAATTTGCAATTTACAAACTAAACAAGAGTACAAAATTACAAATAAAATCTCTAATAAAAATCAAATCTTAAAAAAATATTTGTATTGCATATTTACATTTAGAAAATTACCTTTACACTTGTTCATACACTTATGACTTACATAAACCTAAAAAATTCAAAAAAATACAATAAATTTAAACTCTATGATTTTATACTAAGTCCACAATATTTATGCTTGACGATCCAATAAGTAGTGATTAGTGAATGACGACCAGTCAGTGATGATCTTGCACGTGCAATTTTTAGTTATGCATTAGGAAAAAAAGAACAAATTAGAGATGAAAATAAAAGTGAAGATGTAATTATTAATTGAGTCTCAGATTTATGAACTCCTTTCATCACTTTCAACTAAATCAACTTTACGGTTGCAAAATTTATGTGCCTTTCAAGCATAATGAAATTAGAGTTTATATCTAAGGCATCAATTTAAATTCCAAACAAACTATTGTAATCCTCCATTATGGTTTGCGTAGTGTTGCCTTCCAAAGTGCAAAAGAGTAAGAATAATAATCTTATGCAATTTTATTTATTCTTATATTTAAAATGGCTGCAAACACTTATGTCATACCAATAATGACATTTTATCAATTGTAAACATCATAGCCTCTAATATCATCAAATAATGAGATTCTCAAAGCAAACCAAACCATTGCACAAGCACCAAAGAAAATCAAGCAGTAAATAAATCTGTAAGCAAGCTAAGAATAACCCAGCAACATGAATAACCAAGCTAGGCATCATGAATAACCTAGCCTTAAGATGACAACATGAAATCTGTAATCAAGCTTAGAATAAAAAAGCTTTTAGCAAGGCCCCAAATCGTACCATTGTTGTCAATGTTTGCCTAAATTTTGCATTCCAAATCAGCTAGAAGATAAAGCGAGGAGGAGAGGTGGGAGGGAGAAAGAGATAGGGAGAGAGATGTTTAATGCATTGAGTGAATTGAGTTTGGATTAAAACAAGAAAACTGAAATTTAAGAAGATAACATAATATATATTGCTAAAAAAACTGTTTTACATGATTTAGCTTAAATCCTGGCTACCTTTGAGTTGCCAACATTTATCAAATTCCCAAAATACACTTTTATGTAAATTTGATGGTTAATTTCAAGATGCAACACATTGCTCTACTTGTTGTCTAGGATGATTCATATAGTATTTTGGGGTACATTCCTATTTATTTGCACATCTAACACCTATACTTTGCTTTTTTTAAATTTAAGCCACCCAAATCTCTTATATGACATAAATCATATGTCTATTTTAACTTCTAAAAAGTGAAATACACCTTTTTCATTCATAGGTAAGGTGTCATATATGTTAAAAATTAACGTTTATATAAATACACAAGAATTGAGTAATATGCATGCAAATCTTCCTAGTATTTAATGCACGAGGTCAAAGTTTTCTAATGTTGTAGTTGTTATAATTAGGCAATGCAAAGTTCCAAACTACACCTTTTGATTTTTTAATTGATGAAGAACTTAATTGAATGCCGCCAAAACAATTTCTTCTTGTGAAGGGTATATCTGCTGTAAGCATGCCTTTATATTTTGGAATATTTATGAAGATATCACACTATTCTTATGTATTTACAAGAAGAGAAATTTATAAACGGACAACCATTCACACAATCACGCAATGCTTTACCAAATTAAAGTGACAAGCATTCATACAATCCTTATGAAATTTAAGAATGCACAATGACCGAATCACAGCTCACAACAAAATCCTTATATCAGATCTCATCCATAAACAAAATCAGATATAGAGGCAATAGTCGAATCACATCACAAATGCTTAAAACTGTATGGAATTAATGTTTAAACTTGTGTGAATCACATCACAAATACACAATAGCCGAAACACAACTCACAAGAAAACTCTTATATTAGATGTCATCCATAAAAAAATCGGAATTAGAGGTAAAATGCAAGATATTACTCCCAAAAACTTCAAATACTAGGTTTAACTAAAAAAAACTAAATAAATCTAAAAGAAATTTAAGAAAATTTAGGCTAAGAGGCAAACCTGAAGATAAATATAAAATATTAAAGAAAAGATACGTAAAGATAACACCTCGGTAGCCTTACTAGCTACCAAGCAAGAATAGCGAGCAACCAAGCAAGAATACTGAGTAGTCGAGCGAACGCCGACTCGGCGAGGACAAAGATACTTTATCAATGACAAATAAAAGTAGAGATTAGAGAACGAACACAATTAAAAAACCCTAAGCTCTTGCAGCCAAAAGCTTTTCATGATTTTGAGAGGAGAAGGAGAAGACTCAAAAGTGGGAGAGGCGGCCTAAAGCTTTCGCGATTTTGAGAAACGGGAAGGGGCCGGGTTAGGGTTTTTTTTCTTAATATGTAATATATTATATTAATTATATAACTTATACTTTATAAATATAATAATTATATAACTAATACAGAACTACGAGTATGTTATTATTAATAATTTATAATATATTATAGGATTTAGTTTTTTAAAAATAGGATTTAATTTTTTTAAAATATGATAAATTCTTTATTTAAAAATCTTTGTTAATTATAATTTACAACATTTAATTTATGAAACACACACACACACACTCACACGCACACGCATATGTATATATATATATATACATATATTTATTTGGGAGCCTATTCGAGCCAAAAACGAACTAACAAATGTTTGTTCGTGTTCGGCTCGTTTACATTTCGAGCTTAAAAATTTGTTCGTGTTTGTCTCGTTAGGCTTAACGAACGAGCCGAACAAGAGCTGCTTAACAAGGTGAACACGAGCTATTCGCGAACGACGAACCAATTTGATAGCCCTAGTTGTTGTTGTACCAAAAATAAGAAATTCTTATTCAAAGCATCTCTTTTAATGATTATAAAGCATCTCTTTCAATAATTATTTTCTTTTATCTTTTTGATTCCTATCTTGTTTTCCCAAATCGACAAAACTGTTTCTATTTAATTTCTACACTTCTTTCTTCACAATTCTAATTCATCCCTCTTTAAAACTAAGGTAGAATTCAATAAGAAACCAAGCTATTTGAACGCAAATTTTAGAAGAAAGAAAAAGAAGAGGTTAAGCTAGAAGAATATCATAAAGGCTCAGTATCAGAGCAGAGCATACCAACCTAAGAATCAAATATGCATGCTAACAATTTCATTAATTAACATATCAAAATGCCACCCTTCGTCATTTAGGGTGCATTTGTTTCGGCTGTTACTGTACGAAATCTCAGTTCAAAAGCTGCTACGGAAAATTTGCTGTTCAAAAACTGGTGTTTCTGTTTGAAAAATACGGTTTTGAAAGTGTTGTCTATGGACAAATATCTGAAATACCCCTCAGTAAATATTATCTAGAATTCATTAAGCAGGAGGAATGCAAAGGTAAAGTAAAAATTAAATAAGAGAAAGCTAGATTTTAGAAATTGTATTTTTTCTAAAATTTATTGCATTAAGTAAAATTTAAAAATAAATGATCATCAAAATGAACAAATATTTGGAATGAAGCCAATGATTATGATTCGAGTTCTTTTCAATCACAATACCTTTATCATGAACAAAATTTATTTAATATAAAACCACAAGGGAATTTAGTATCATATGCCTTAAAATAAATAGAATTAGGCAGGTATTCCCATGATATCATAACTAATGAGGAATAACCTCTAGCATTCGAGGACTGGCCATTGAAGTTTGAACTTGCTGAAATCAAAGATATTTAAGTTGGATCGTTATGAAACTGATTTGAACCCAAATTTGAACATGGTTCAAACCCATATCACTAAAATATTGGGTGATTTACATATATACGAGACAGGTTTTATGTTTTTACATAGCTAGCTCCCAAATTTGAACATGATAAAGGCAAATTATTTCAGCATTATTATATTCGATAAGAGTTAATAACTACGGTTAATATTTTTATATTATTCCATGAAAGTGAAAGTTTTCAATAAAAAAGATCAGGCTATAATATTATATTTATGGTGGCTTTTAATGCATGCTGCTTGCTCTATCCAAGATGTGAAAAAAAAACACTGTTATTGAAAAACAACGCTGGACTTTCCCAAAGAAAAAAAAAAACAGCGCAGAGGCAAATTAATAAATCACGGGCGAAATTTTTGAACGTGGGAGACTCTCCGCGGTGGCGCCATAGGTAAATTACAAGCCGCGATGCTCCATGATTCTCAACTGCATTTGGCTAAAATGCAAAAAAAACACGCATTTTCAATCGAGAAGCTGAAACAAACGCACCCTTAATGTATAGTTCTTGGTGAGTGGCTTTGATATTGTATTTTGCTGCGGTATGATCTATGATTAAGAATAACTATCAGTAAATTTGTCCTTGTTTAACTATACTAGAGGTCTTTATATATGTTTGTCTTTACTAATGCATATGTAGATATGGATTATTTTTGGTTGGATGAGTCTTTGGATGGCCTTCAAATTCATTCCAAGTTCTTTGCAGATCTTTCTCATGTCTGTCAATTACATACGCAAATTGTCAAAACATCCTGATACTTTTAATATTACTTTATTACCTTTGTTGCTTTTCATAATTGGCGCACTTTGCATGCATTAGTTATTTTTGGGAGTTTGTTCTGCACCATATGATTTCTTATTTCATCATACTTTTATTGGGAACATTTTGTTTACAGCCGAAAATCTATTATTATTTTTTTGCTTGTTTAATATAAAAAACTTAACCTGATTGTGGAAGAATGATTTATATTTGTTTTTTCTGTTTTTTGGGGTATGGTGGGTGATGAGCATTGGCTAAATTCTTTACAAATGGCTGATTCATGTCTTAACTCTGATTTATAGCTGGCCGCAACTGGAGTAGCTGTTCTGGTGGTGGATAGGCTTGGCCGGAGACCCTTATTAATCGGAGGTGTTAGTGGAATCGTATGTTTCTTTCTTTAATAAACTGAACAATCTTTACTACATTTCAAAAAACTTGGAACCAGAACATCTGGGGTACCATTGCGAAGAAAAATTTGATCTGAGTTGCTTTGTTTTTTGTTCTCTAACTGCGTATTAAGTAAAATTGGTGGATCAATAACTACAAGTGCTTGCATAGATTTTATTTTAAATTAGTTTGGTTATTTCAATTTCTGCTTGTCGATAATGCGAAGGTTGTGTGAAGGATTATTGTCATTTTGCTTGTTGTGTAATGGAACTCTTGTTAGGCGCATAATGTAGCGAAGTTTAAATATGCATGATACGGCTTATTGTTCCTGTGAATTACACTTTTTGTTATTACTAATGAATAATAGAAGAGACCAAACTCTAGCTGCTGAATTGTTTTTCTTTTCTCCAATATTCTTTTATCAATTTTTTTATTAGATTTGTATTTTGATCAGATCATATCACTTATAATTTGATTTAGTACTATTTTTAAGATATTGTTAAGTTCCAATCTTTTACTTATGCAAAGAATCATTAAACATCCTGGCTTACCTTTTCATATTTGTTGTTTTATGTGCTTGTTCAAATGAATACATTTATGAAGTAACTTCTTTTCAATATGCTACAAATCTCATTAATCTAGAAGCCAACATGTTATCAATCATAGAATTTTGAACTAGGTCTTGGTGTAGTTGCTCATAATTTAGCTCTAAATCATGTGTTCATGAGTTTCATCCTTACACCTCTCATCGCCACTAAAAATCCAGGTGTGTATTCCATTTTGCTCTTATATCAAGGGTTTGTCCCTCCAATGACTATCCTTGTTCCCACTTTATAAAATATATGGGATAGGTTTCTATTCTTATAAAAACCATAGAACGCTTTTTATTCATGAACTGCTGATTACTTTAACACTTGAATGGATTGCAACCAATGAGTTTAAAGCACAATTTGCGAAGGAATGTGTAAGTATTTTTGGGCTTGAAGCACAAAGCATGATGTGAAGTAGCACCTAAATTCGGAAACTGCTTTTTTTAATTTAATCTTATACATTTATAATGCTAAATATGTTGTAAATGAACTGGCAAACATTTGCGGTGGGATTGTAGCCCTTGGTGGAGGTTGGGTAATGCAAGATATATCGAAATCTAATGGCTAGAGAATTGTTGACTGATCCACCCTAGGGTGTATCACTATTTTGTACAGTCCTGTTAAAGGCACCAGAAACTTGATCTGTTTCGTAGCTAATTGATTGAGTTATTAAATTAGGTATTATTACTCCATGGGGTTTCTCACGCAAATATGCATATCGTTTCAGTAATATAAGAATATCGAGCTCAGATTATCGATATCACAGAGAAGTGTGGTATGAAATTCCTTAGGCTAAGTCTTAGTCTACTATGTTTAGGTCTTAGTTTGGAATGTCAATTAAGGTGGCTTTTCTAACTGACTAGACAAATTGGTTTGGTAAATTTCAAGAGGTAAAAACTACTTTTCTCATGTGCTTACATAAGTGGATTATAGGATCTAATACTTTGACTATTTATTGTGGCTAGTGATAAATAGAACCATTCATCTTCTTTACTCTTTGTCTAGTGCATAAAGAAGTTTGGTTAACCTAGTATTAATTTCTTAAACCCTATATTTAGAGTCTCCAATTTATACCCTCAATTTGGCTAACCCAATTTATACCCTCAAATTGGTTAGGATTCTAGCCTCACTCTAGAGCCCCCAATTTACACCCATCAAAACATATTTCTCTATCTACTTGCATCTCTCTATAGATTACTTTTGCTTCATACCCTATAGTTCAATGTGGTTCTTCATAGTTCATGTCATAGCTCTCTCGAGTTTTTATGGTGTACATATAATTTTAACAGTTAATATGGCCAGTACAAAAGGTAAATAATGCACAGAAAGAAAACCATCACATTAAAGTTTAAAAATCAATCCTAAAAGCATCCTACACATCCCAAAAATCTTTCTTATTCAACACAAGAGAAGGGTCACAAAATATGAAGAACACCACAGAAGACATGATCTTGGCACAAACAAATCCACTAAATATGTGTTTACAACAAGTATAAGACATTAGATAACAATATACTTAGCTTTTGCCATCGGAAAAAGAGATACAAATTCCTTCAACAATGCCTCCTATTGTTCATTGCATTGCTGATACAAGTTCCTTGCAATTTTCTCTCAAAATCCTCTCTCCAATCGCTTGAGAGAAGGTAAAAATCTACATTTTCTACTCCTACCTATGACCTCTTGACGTTCATGGAGAATTTAAGGTCTTGGAAATGCCAAAAAGTGTTATTCCAAAAGTCTGAATCTGTCAAATAACTCCACAAGTCATGCTGAAACCGCCTCAAACAGTTCTGGCGCCTAGGCGCCACCTTCTCAGGTAAGTTGGGAAACAACTGGCGCCTCCATGGCGCTAGAACTTGGTGCCCAGGTGCCAACCCGCTGTTTGCTCAATAGCTCCATTTGCCTCTTTTACAGTCAGTTTTCGCTCCAGTTTGCTCCAAATTTCCTACCTTTTATACCTGCAACAAAAATATGGAAATACCTTCCTTTAAAGTGTAATTTCATAAAAATAAATGTTAAACATAAAAGAAAATTAGCATGCTACAAGACTTATCATTTACCTTCGAAGTTAAGCAAATCGGAGACATTGAAACAAATGCTTAATATATGCAGTTATTTTTGAAGGGCTTTTTAAATGATACATACAAATACTAAATCTAACATGCAACACCCTTGCTAAGTTAGCTATAAACAAAGTATTGATAAGGGCATTGAAGAATTGGAGATAAAAACATGAAAATATTCTAACTTTATGTGGAAATTTGAGAAGATCTTGAAAAATAAACCGGGGCATAGGAAACTCTTGACTAGTTTATTCTCTTCTTATTTTATGTTAATTTAATTTTTATTTCAGAAGTATTTGCTTTCCTAATTTAGGTTACATATACTTGTTAAATTCGTAAATTAGGAGAGATTATTCTCTCTCTCTCTCTCTCTCTCTCTCTCTCTCTCTC